CAAGCAAATTTACAGGTTGAGAAAAAGCTAAGTTATGTTGTTTAAAACTGTTGAAATTCGTAGCAATTTTATACAAATAGATTAATTGTTAACACTTGCAATGTTAATCCTTGTTGAGTCCTGTTGCAGTAATATGTTAATCTCTTGTTAAAACACTTGTTGAAACTTGAGAAAAGTTGCAAAAGTTAACAAAATTGAAGTAGTATATGTTTCACACTTGTTAGAATTTATGAAAATTTTGCAGGTCAGTATCTTGCCGAAGTTAAAGTTTTGTAGCTTATTATACCAAGGTAATGTAACCCAAAAGATTGCAAAAGAGGCAAAGTATGAAAGCAATTGCAAATATTCTAAGTAAAGAATCATGCAAGAGCAGTTAGAAGAGATCAAGAACAGAATTCAGATGGTGATTGACACGCCCTCACCATACAATATCATCTTGGGAAGGCCAATGGTTGCATTGCAAATGGGGGCAGTTCCCTCAACAGTTGCATCAACTATTACGATTCCCCCACAGTACATGAGATTGAAGAAAGTCAGAGGAGACGGCAAAATTAACAGGCAAAGAATGCTCCATGGCAGCAATGAAAACTACCTGCAACATTCGGGAAACCAGGGAAGGCAAGATTGGAACGAGGACATTAGGTCCTAGATGTGTTGGCAGGAGCAAGCCAAAAAAGAGTGAAGTGCACACTAAAAGAACATCCTCGTCTAAGAGGGCGACGAAGAGCGCTTCATTCACAGAGAAAGTTGAAAGTTGAATTAGACCATTGAAGAACAAGGAGGCACATCGGCCAATATGCAAGAGTTTACATTATCTAAAACAAAAAGGTCACAAGAGTACATAGTGCCAAAGGAAAAAAGCTTCAAAAACGGAGATTATGCTTAACCGAAGTTAAGCGCGAGATGAATGTTTAACCGAAGTTTAAAACTGAGGTGAGTGTTAACTGAAGTTAAACTGAGATGATACTTAACGCGAAGTTAAGCCGAAAATGATGTTTAAATCTTGTTGAATTCGAGCGATTACAATTAAAGAGTGCACAAAGTTAAATGTCGTAAAAGAATTCGCCGGAGGTCAAAACGTCGTATTTGATTAGAACCGCACTAAAGTGCACGCCAGAAGTGGTGACCAGAATTGTGAAAAGGAATAAAATGCTTCAGGAAACAGCGATGATAGTTTGCAAAGGCCAAGAAGAAAAGAGGGTCTAAAGGGGGTGAATTAAATACGCCAGAAGTTTTAATAGCATTGGCGAAAGAAGAAACACATCAGTGGTCTGTGAGCTACAGCACGAAGGCCCACTTCCTAATGTGATCCTAAACCGTTCACATTAGGGGCAGGAAGAGGTCAGGGGGAATGAATGATAATTAAGGAGAAAGGAATGTTTTAACACTTGTTTGAAATTTTTGAAAGGGCAAAATTAACAAAATGAGTTAACCAAAGATTATGAAGTCTCCACTTGTTTGATTTGTAGCAATTTCAAGTTTGTATAGCCGAGATAAACCTAGAAAGACGTTTCCGAGATATGATCAAGCCGGGATGACCCCAACTAGCTTGTTAAGAGCTGAGAAAGGTTGGCAAGTACAAAATCGAAGACCTTAAAGAACTAAGGGATGAAAGCAAGAACGTCAGACTAGATCTGCTTCGACGGACGACATGGTTAAGCCTCGCAGTCAGTTGCACTAAATGTAAACCAGCAGAATTCAAACCAGGACTTGAATGGACAAGAATTCAAACCAGCAGAATTCATTCCAGGATTTAGTGAGTGGTTTAAAGAGCAAAATATAAATAGCACTAAATGTAAATAGCACTAAATCCAAGTCAAAGCACTAAAATCCAACAAGAATTCAAACCAGCAAAATTCAAAGCACTGTCTCCATTTCATATTTCAACCAGCAAAATTTGAAACAAACCCAACTCTAAATCCAAGTCAAAGCACTAAAATCCAACAAGAATTCAAACCAGCAAAATTCAAAGCACTGTCTCCATTTCATATTTCAACCAGCAAAATTTGAAACAAACCCAACTCTAAATCCAAGTCAAAGCACTAAAATCCAACAAGAATTCAAACCAGCAAAATTCAAAGCACTGTCTCCATTTCATATTTCAACCAGCAAAATTTGAAACAAACCCAACTCTAAATCCAAGTCAAAGCACTAAAATCCAACAAGAATTCAAACCAGCAAAATTCAAAGCACTGTCTCCATTTCATATTTCAACCAGCAAAATTTGAAACAAACCCAACTCTAAATCCAAGTCAAAGCACTAAAATCCAACAAGAATTCAAACCAGCAAAATTCAAAGCACTGTCTCCATTTCATATTTCAACCAGCAAAATTTGAAACAAACCCAACTCTAAATCCAAGTCAAAGCACTAAAATCCAACAAGAATTCAAACCAGCAAAATTCAAAGCACTGTCTCCATTTCATATTTCAACCAGCAAAATTTGAAACAAACCCAACTCTAAATCCAAGTCAAAGCACTAAAATCCAACAAGAATTCAAACCAGCAAAATTCAAAGCACTGTCTCCATTTCATATTTCAACCAGCAAAATTTGAAACAAACCCAACTCTAAATCCAAGTCAAAGCACTAAAATCCAACAAGAATTCAAACCAGCAAAATTCAAAGCACTGTCTCCATTTCATATTTCAACCAGCAAAATTTGAAACAAACCCAACTCTAAATTCAAGTCAAAGCACTAAAATTCTGAATATCAAAAACATATGTGCCGGCAAACCCAAAAATAAAATCCAGTCAAACTTAAATTAAATAAAAACATAGCTTCAAAGCTAAATAAAAATAATTAATTCCCTTTTTCAAGGATTTGCATCTGGCGTTGGCGAATATATTGTGCTTGCAATGGAGGCATAATGCTCGTATCCATTGACATGATTCTCTCTTCCTCTCTCCTTTCCTCCAATGCAAGCCTTCGTTCCTCTCTCTTTTCCTCATTTTCAATCCTCCGTTCCTCTTGAAGATAAGATTTCTCAAATATCTCTATTTTCTTCTCATTTGTTATGTCATTCTTTACCTTTATCTCTTCTAAGAGCTTCACAAAAGGCGACTCTGTAACATTATTTCCAAGATCTTTAGCTTTGTTTTTCTTTGCGGCCTTCCTTCCTATTGGTCTTTCCACAACATCATAGTTATCATTGTTCTCTAAGTTTACTGAATCTGGTGTACAAGGGGTTGACGTTGCCGGAGATGCATTTTTTGTGCTTTTTTGCTTCTTTGTTGTTGTATCTTCCATCCACTTTGGTTGGGATCTCAATTCATTCCAACAATGCTCAAAGGGAAAGTTCGAGTGATACAAGTCTTTGTACAATTTTTTCGCATCCTGAATCTGAAAAATAGATTAAAGAATAATCACTATCACGCAATGAATAATATATATTCATTATAGGTACAAAATTAAATTGTAGTAATACCTTGTCTTTTTCAGTCGAACCACTTCGATTTAACCGTTCAACTTGAGCAAAACATCCACAAAATTTATTTGTGGCAAGTTGAATCGTCGACCACCGATTCATTAGAGAAGTTTGAGTTCTTTCAGAATCGAAGGTTTTGTACTTGTTGTAGTTCTCCCACACTCTTAGCCAATATGCCTTTGACTTTTGCTCATTTCCTCTAATTGGATCTAAGCTAATATTAAGCCATGAAGAAATGAGCATCATGTCTTCCTCTTCGGTGAAATTCCCTTTGCGTTGTGATATCTTTGTAGTTTGAGTAATACTTTCAGGAGAGAATGATAAAGATTGACTCTCTTGTTGAGGAGATTCAGTGGTAAAATCATGGTCAACGTCAAACTCGTTCATTAGGTTGCTAAAATACGCATTTCCTTGATATTCCATCTAAATCACAATTGTTCATACCACACAAAAAGAATAGAAAAAAAAAAAGTATCAATTCATGGCCTAATTCCAAAAATAATGAATTAGGGAATGGTGGACATAATTGGACCTAATTCCAAAAAGTATCAACAAAGTAATTTAAAATTGGAACAAATCTAATTCATAATGGACATAAACATCTTTCAAAGTAATTTAAAATTGGACATAATTGGACATTAATGGACAAAGCATGATACAAACCATATTTTATTCATTTCAGGGATCAACCCCGATCCCAATTTTACACAAAAAAAAAAATAAATAAAAAAAAAAAAAACAAACAAACAAACAAACAAACACCAGCGGGATTTTTCTTCTCTACTCTGCCGCCGGTCTCTTCTTTTTGCCTCCGTCCTGGGCGGCTCTTGACGGTGTTGCCTCCGTGCTTCCTCCTCCACCGAGTACGTTCACTCCCCCATACTCCTCCACTGCAACATATGGCGGACCTCCAAATCGGAACATCACGGTGGCCTTCCGCTTCAGCTCCTTATTTTCCGCCTTTAGTTTGCTCCACCGACCGCATCGGAAAGTTCAACGGAGCAAACTCCGGGGCGCTTGGTTGAGGTTCCAGTGCCACCGCACCAGTTCTCTCTCTTGTTGACTCGTTGAGGTCGGGAAAGAGGGTGAGCAGACCGCGGGAAGACGAAGCCATTTTTCTGGGCAACAGAGTGTTACAGAGTATCTTTCTCAGCAAAACGAAGAATTTTTCAGCGGTTTCTGTCTCAGCTTCTGCCTCGGCCTCAGCCTCCGTCTTGGTTAAATAGCCGAGGCAGCCACGCGTATCGCGCGCCACTTGACGCCAGACGACAAACGGGCACGCCTTTTTATCTGGATCACGTGCCTCGCCATCATATCTGGCACGCCTTTTTATGGATTGGGCACGCCTTTTATGGATTGGGCACGCCTTTTGATGGATTGGGCACGCCTTTTGATGGCACGCCTTTTGACAGCTTGGGCAAATGGAAATAGATGGGCACAATAATATTGTAATTCCTACTGCAACGCGATAAGATGGAACCAACTTTTGATATTGTAGTTATGTTAACTATTTAATAGATATAGAGTATACTTTCGCCTACTTAGAAATTTAACAAGTGGAAACTTGTATGTCATAGAAGGTTGATGAGCGCATCAGGACTTTGATTGAGAATGGGGTAAAGACAAGGCACAGGTCCATGTTTGTCATTATTGGTGATAAATCTCGTGATCAGGTTCAATTCTCATTTTAATGTGTTTAATGTCTTTTGTTCATCTACTATATATGTTCACTTTATCAGTTTCTTTGTATGATAATTGCATGCATGTTCCAGATTGTAAATCTCCACTACATGTTAAGCAAGGCAGACATCAAATCCCGCCCAACTGTCTTATGGTGTTACAAGGAAAAATTGATTGACAACACTAGAATATCCCCAAAATCACAAATTTAGTTCATTGAACTACGGAAACAAACCCAAATATGAGGGCAATTCTATAAGAACCAACTAGTCAAACTTAAAAATAAAATCTAGTCAAACTTAAAATAAATAAAAACATAGCTGCAAAACAAAATAAAAACAATTAATTCCTAATTGGAACAAAGTAATTTAAAATTGGTACAAATTTGATTCATAATGGACATAACATAATTGAACATCTTTGAAAGTAATTTAAAATTGGACATAATTGGACATCTTTCAAAGTAATTTAAAATTTTCCCGATTCACAATTGGAACAAATCTGATTCATAATGCATAGAAAGTAATCTGATCCCATCTAAAATTTTCCTAATGCATAGAAAGTAATTTGATCCCATCGTGCACAATTAAATTTTGATCTAGATAGGACAATAGGGGATGTAGACTTCTTCAATTTGTTAGCCTGATTATATATGGGTAAATTAATCTAGGAAAAATGCTGAAAGGTATAGAAAGTAGAAAGCCTAGTAGATGTATCCAGCAGTTGGGTTTACTAGACAATTTCATCTAAGACAAACAAGAATAGAAACAACTCAAGATTTCGGTGGTCACAAATATACAGACTCCAGATTACATGGACACAGGTCCAACATAAGATGCTTTCAAAATTAAATCTTCAAATTTGGCATCAATATATATATATATATATATAGCCCATCAAATGAAAAAGAAAATCAAGAAGCAATGCAATTTTTCTTAGTATATTAATCAAATCTTCCTTCATGGTAATTAAAAATACCAATAGCTTACCTACCAGCCAAAAAAAAAAAAAAAAAACCCAACAGCACCTCAATGTTATTTTAGCAAATTTCTGCTGCCTCAATTTTCCTTGGACTGAGTGTAATTTCTAATCTTGTGAGGTTGGATAATCAAACCTCTGCCGTCTCAAAATATAAGAAAAAGAAAACCACAAAATCACGCATCAAGAAAATGTGACTCTAAATAAATTTAACAAAACCATCGGGTGATTCTCCATAGAGCACACAAGTCCCTTGGTCTTGAAAACAGAGGGATTGTTTCATGGTTGGATGTGAGTTTTCATATAAAACATGTATAGATTCTTGGGTGGAATTGTGGGGTCAATTCTTTGAGGCAATTTATCGAACATGTAGATGACATTGCAGAAAACCCTCTACACATTGAAAAACCTATCATCAAGCAATCTATAAAAACAAATACAACAAAATATAAAAGTGAATCACTCAATCTACCAGGCACATTGCATAAACACTAAATATAAAACCCAAAACCCAATTTTTTATCCAAAAAAATGTATCAAATGCAGCTTTAAATATACAAAAATAGCATGAAAATACAGACCAAAAAACAAAAATCGAAACTTTTGATGGGGAAGAACAGGGAAGTGGAGAAAGAGAAAGAGAAAGAGAAAGAGAGCCATACCTGTGATCATCAATGGGCTGGAACAGATATGGAACAAGCAGTGATGGAAGCCAACACAATGGCGGGAAGAGTGCTTTGCCTAGCAAAGGACGCTGGCTACATGTGGAGAGCCAAAACAAGAATTGGCAAAATGCCTCCTCAGTTGCAGAGCGCGTTGGAGCTTCGAAATCCAACTTCAATAGGCAAAATGCCTAATTCTCCCCTTTTGGCTCCTGCGTTGGAGATGCTCAAGAGCATCTCCAACCATGCTCTCTAAAATGCCTCTTCAAAGTACACAAAAAACTACCTTCTTTATTTTGCCTAACTAGTTTAGCTAGTGTACACTCCAACCATACTCTTTATTTTAGCTAACCATTCAAACTAACTTAACTAATTTTTAAAAGAAAACTATAATAAACATTAATAAATAAATAAATAAATAATCTTTTTATAACATTCTGTATATATTGACGTGGCATTTGTAAATATTTATTTATTTAATATATATAATTAAAATATTCATTCTTTACCTTTATCTCTTCTAAGAGCTTCACAAAAGGCGACTCTGTAACATTATTTCCAAGATCTTTAGCTTTGTTTTTCTTTGCGGCCTTCCTTCCTATTGGTCTTTCCACAACATCATAGTTATCATTGTTCTCTAAGTTTACTGAATCTGGTGTACAAGGGGTTGACGTTGCCGGAGATGCATTTTTTGTGCTTTTTTGCTTCTTTGTTGTTGTATCTTCCATCCACTTTGGTTGGGATCTCAATTCATTCCAACAATGCTCAAAGGGAAAGTTCGAGTGATACAAGTCTTTGTACAATTTTTTCGCATCCTGAATCTGAAAAATAGATTAAAGAATAATCACTATCACGCAATGAATAATATATATTCATTATAGGTACAAAATTAAATTGTAGTAATACCTTGTCTTTTTCAGTCGAACCACTTCGATTTAACCGTTCAACTTGAGCAAAACATCCACAAAATTTATTTGTGGCAAGTTGAATCGTCGACCACCGATTCATTAGAGAAGTTTGAGTTCTTTCAGAATCGAAGGTTTTGTACTTGTTGTAGTTCTCCCACACTCTTAACCAATATGCCTTTGACTTTTGCTCATTTCCTCTAATTGGATCTAAGCTAATATTAAGCCATGAAGAAATGAGCATCATGTCTTCCTCTTCGGTGAAATTCCCTTTGCGTTGTGATATCTTTGTAGTTTGAGTAATACTTTCAGGAGAGAATGATAAAGATTGACTCTCTTGTTGAGGAGATTCAGTGGTAAAATCATGGTCAACGTCAAACTCGTTCATTAGGTTGCTAAAATACGCATTTCCTTGATATTCCATCATATTAAATTATATATATATATATATATATATATTTTGATAAGGATGTATTTATTTTTTATTTATTTTAAAAACAAAAAATACTCCATCCTTGTAATTTTTCTGCCCTAAACTCCCACCTGATTATCTCAAAAATTTGGAGTTTGAATACATAGAAATTATGCATTTAAATTCTTTTTAATAACTTAGTATTGGACTAACTAACTCAGAGGATCAATTCCATTGTGCACTAGATAGGGGCCCAATTAAAGTTGAGGCAAAACTCCCCGTCCTCACCCCAATTCTCAACGCTTGCAACCACCCTGGCCCGGCCCTCATGAAATTCTATCCCACCCCCACCCAAACCTGCAAATCTAACCCTAATCTCGATCCATAACATAGTCAGAAATTTACTAATATTATTAAAACTCAATAATTAAAACTAAAAAATAAAATTTATAATTAAAAAAAATTATAAATTATACATTGTACATATATTAAATTTATGTTATATAAAATAATAGAAACTTAATAATACTTTGTATAACTATATTATATATTTTTACAAAAAATTCAACAATATATTATATACATATTAGCTAAATATGTATTATTATTATTTATTTATTATTGTATTTGCAAGTTGTGTAGGATTCAGGTTAAAAAAATACTACCCCTGCCCCAACTTGAACCCAATCGGGTTGCTCAAAGTGTTCTCCAAATCTGACCTTATCCTGTTCAACCGCCCCCAATCCCATCGCATTAGGGTCGGAGGGAGGCGGGAACCTGATGGATTGGAATATTTTGCCATCCCTAGGTCTGAGAAACATTTACTTCTCAAAGCTGTGTCGATCCTCCCTCGTTGCCCCTCCGGTCTTGGTATGTCTTGGCTTTTTGTGAATGTGGTAATTTAGTTTTTTATTTTTGTAGCAGACTTTGGATTCATGAGATTATTATCAAATTGTGTTGTGTCTTCTTAAATGTTAACATGCATGACTTATAGCATATGGTAGTTAACTGCTTTGTAAGATTTTTGAAAATTAAGAATGTTGGTTTTAAGAGCCGAGCTTCAAGTATTAACAAAAATGAAAAACTCTTAAATTAGAAAAATCTGTTAGTGGCCAAAGAGGGCTTTCATTTCATGGTATGCATCAATTATATCTCGAAAATTCGTAGAAAATCTTTTTTATTTTTCTATAAATGAGGCTTGTCTTGACTAATTAGGATATCTAATTTATCCAAAAATAAAGAAGTGTTTTTCTCTTGGCCAAGAGTCCTAACTGTTAACATCAGAAGGTAAAGCTTTGGTAGTATCTCTAAATCATCAATCTCATCAAAACTTCTAATTTTAGCAAGTTTCAATTGCTAACCTACTGCTGAAAAATTATTCCTCTTGATGCATATGCATGAAATAAATCCAGAGTAGAACAATACAGAAACACATGATTTTTTAGTCAAAACTCATTAAATCAAGTTTTTATTTTATTTAGTTGAACTGTTCAAAAATTATTACACTAGCCATGACTTAGTGATTAGATAAAGACAAATACATTTTCACACTCTTATTTGACTATTCACCTATCATAAAACAATCAAGGATTTCAATCTTGAATTGAGACTAGTTAAAGGAGGCGAAGATGAATAATGCCCAGAAAGTATCTCCTTTGTATACTTTTAATCTTATACGTTTCCTAATTTTTCTTCTTCTTATTAACTCATTTATAAGTTTTGTTTTTGTTGTTTTATATATAATGTTGTCACGCCCTCAAAAAAAAAAAAACACACAAAACCCAACATTCTAGATATGCAATGATATAAGAGAGATCAACACATTACCATTCATCAGAGTAGTCTTACAACAGTATTACATGTTAACAACAAAGCAAATGCCCTAGGGGCTTACAGCTTTCCAAGTCAACACTTGGACACAAAAAGAAGAGTACTAACTCTATACAGGAAAAGCCCAAGGCTTGGTATACATGTTTGTTAGGTTTTTATTCTTGGCAACCCCGTTTGACAAAACTCCTTTTAGATGTATTTATTTTCGCACCTTTTATTTCAGTGAGGCTAATGATGTCCCATAAAGGGTGAGCCAACGCCCAGTAGAGATATGCTAAACACAATATGAGCAACAACTAAAACTTTAGCAATTGATAAATATTTAACTCACATCAACCAATTCATACACTACTTTCGTTACATGACCACTACATTCATGTTTCATTTCATTTTCCATTCCTTATCCAATTCACAATTCAACTACGGCTCAGAACCTAGCCAACAACCTAGATGAGATAGCAACTCATGTTAAACATTTTCCATTTCCCATTAGATATGCATAAGACTATACCAACAAATCAACAGATAAGCATATGAGCTATATCAACAATTCAACAGATAACCATATGAGCTGTATCAACACTTCAATAGATAAGCATATGAGCTGTATCAACACTTCAATAGACAAGCATATGAGCTGTATCAACACTTCAATAGACAAGCATATGAGCTGTATCCATTTCCAGTTTAGAGGTCCAGCCCCTTTCTTCCAATAAACTGTTTGGTTTAGAGGTCCAACCCCTTTCTTCCAATAAACTGTTTGGTTTAGAGGTCCAGCCCCTTTCTTCCAATAAACCGCCCACACAAAACAACATATATATATATATATATATACACACATTGGTAGTATACATAATCAATCAATACATAAAGTTAATGTATTCATTCAACAGTCATACTCTATGACACGTCCATTCGATTAGTTTTAGTTTGCCTAATCCTCATGCATTGTCTACAACAATCGAAACCACCCTCCACCGGTAGCCCAAGCAATTATTTCTAAACAGATAATAAAAGCTCTAACAGATACAATTATCAACATTTTCATTAGTGAGCAATAATTAAATCCAACTCCACTAATCCATCTAATAATGAGCCAATTTCATTATATTCACTTCAATTTCACAAATCCATAGCCATTCCAAATTTAAGTATATCAATAAATTAATACACAAATTAGGGCTTTCTCCCCAAAGTCTCAATGTTAACCATAGGTTCAAATATCAACAACCAACACTCAAATCATCATTTTGAGACCCAAAATACATGTTTAAGAATCAAAATAACAAACCCTCGTTTATACCATTTTGAAACCCTAAGTCCCAAAACCAACCAACTTCAACACTTTATCAAAACTACCAATAATCTATGTCGAAGACCATAATAGTGAGTAGGAATCCCTACCTCAAATTCGGAGCTCAAGGGAAGAAGATGACGAAACTCAACGTGCTCCAAAACTCGAAATTTTCGAATCAAAGGAAAGCCCTGGACGATCAATCCAACTTTTGTAAAGACCAAAGGTGAGGAAAACACCCTAACTAGATCAATACTTAGAGAGAAGTTATGGTTTTAGAGAGAAGAGCTCTCAAATGGCTTTTTTTGAAAAGTAAGAGAGAGAAACGGGTGTGAAAAAGTAAGCCAAAAAGCTGAATCTCGGAACCTTATACCAGTCTCCCCGCTCGAGCGTGGGAACCCCCGCTCGAGCGTCACTCACAAACTCCCGCTTGAGCGTCAACAATCCTGCTCGAGCGGCAGATACACACTTCCAGAACTTTTTACTGAACCAGGTCTCCGCTCGAGCGTCAAGCCTCCCGCTCGAGCGTCACACACAACAAACCCGCTCGAGCGTCAAAACCCCCGCTCGAGCGTACAACACTGCAGAGGAGATACTGGAAGATGGAGAAATACGCTCGAGCGCCGAAACTCCCGCTCGAGCGGACAAACAACAACGAAGGTCCCGCTCGAGCGTCAAAATCCCCGCTCGAGTGTGAAGGCCAAAATCTGGGCAACTACTCTTGGTTTCTAAGTTCAACTAACCTGTTTCAAACCTGCCCAACCCAACCCAAGACTCGAATATAAGGAGTAAAGGATGTAAACAAGATATATACAACAACCAACTCCACAGAACCGAGTCCGGATCCAACAAATAAGGAAAAAGGGAAACCAGGGTCGCTATAACCTCTCCCCCTTAAAGAATTTCGTCCCCGAAATTAAGGAAACGCCATAACACAAGGCCAATGGATCACAGAGCACTCAACACCCGAGCCCCAAGGAAAAAAACTGCTCTCACAACAAACCTTCGATTTATTCTTACCAAGAAAGAGACTAACCAAGGGAACATGTCCTAAACGACAACCTTATAGGCACGAAGGCCTCAACAAAACCCAACCTTCCCCGAAACAATTCACCAACAACCGACTAGCACCCCAAGCTAAGTCACTGCTCATCATGCATAATTCTCAACAACACGGCCAAAGTAAATCGTTTTGCATAGGTAAAAGAAAAAATCATTTTCTGGTTCATGAGACATTTCTCAAAGATGTTTAAATTTTCAATGTTAGTATTCCGAAATAAATCTTGCCCTTTCCATGCGAAATTAAAAGTTTTGTAAACATTTTTCATAAGCACGGTGTTACTCAAAACACGTGACCGCCTACTATTTTGTTTGCCAAAGACTTCCCATTGAAATTTCTCAACAATTTTACAATTTAATGTTCAACAACCTGACCCATTACTGGTCACTTTATCTCTGTTCAAGAGGCCATTTACAATAACTGCTACAACATGTTTTCCTTCAAATTTAACAATTCCCAACATACATGGTTCACAATTTCATATCATAGTTAATGTTCATGACATACTTCCAGTTCTACAATACGTTCAACATATGCAATGTTACATTAAACTTTCATTTCAACGCGAGTTTCAAAATACTTCCGTGAACCAAAACAAACGCAATGTTTTTCAACTTAAGATACATTTAATGCTCTTAAAGTTCAACAATATACAACACATGCTCAAGCATGCACAAATAGATCTAGATATCTCTCTCGGGTCTGAAATTTACTCACCCAAGTGGTCTTCCCAACCCCGTTATGTTCCGACAACACCTTTATTAATGGGAGGGTCCCGTCCCCCAAGACCCGATAACAATGATAATAGTAAGCCACACGCAACCGCTACAGTGTTCTGAGACTTCCACTGCGTCACGACTACCGACAATACTTATATCAGTATTTAGTACTCACCACCCCAACACAGGAAACATGAGAAACGTTCGTACACGAAGTTTCTGGTCGACTTCCACAAAACAGGAACGCAAGACGAAGCAAGGGTAAGGAACCACATTACAGCACATTAATACCCCAAAAAAAAATTTTTTTTTTTAGGTCTTGTCCCAGACACACAACTGGTCACTTACAACTGGCCACAGTTGAACTTAGAGATTTTCCGAAAGTAAGGATCGCAAACCCACATTTCGATTCAAGATCATTTTAGTCCACAAAGAGTACTCAATTTCCCTCAAGCGAATCACAGCGTAAACACCCACAAAACCCGCCATACCCACAGTAATGGCGCAATTCCCAAACGTTTGAAGTTCCCAACAACGCAGCAACGTAAAGGATAACTTTATACACCCCACGCCTTACACCACACAGACAAGACTGAATAAGTCGAAATGACTCTAACAGTGTGCCACACTTACTCCGCACACTTTCACCCCCTTACTCGTATTACCATTATCCAAACTGAACGATGGGCACTTATGCCAAAGTGACCTAGCTTTACCAAACCTCAAACCAAATTTCAAACTTCAAACCACACTCCCATCAGTAACCATATTAAAGCCTCACCAAGGCATTCACCTGGGATTCCCTAAGATTAATCCCCTTCTATACATCATCTACTAACACATATGAACCATACACTAACACGCATCGTATTATGCAAAACTTCCTCATCTAGGGATTTCACCCATCACCTTGATTGAACTTGTAGTAACCGAGTTTGCTTACCCTTTCCCTCGCACAGAATTAATT